TTAAGAGACAGAGTCTCAAGCTGTCAGCCTGGGTAGAGTGCTGTGGCATCACAGCTCACAGCAACCTCAAACTCTTGGGCTTAAGTTATTCTCTTACCTCACCTTCCCAAGTAGCTGGGACTGCTGGCACCCTAGCTGCTTGAGCTATAGGCGCCAAGCCATACTTAAAAAGGTTTTATTTTGGTTCAACTTAGTTTAGACCTTGGATTTTTTTTTTCTATTTAAGATTATGTACCTTTATTTGAGATTGGAAAAGTCATGACTAATTGGCACACAGGTACAAACTTTAGTTTAATCTGTTAACATGTTAGATGGTATGGGTGGTTCTTGTCTTTGGTCCAGAGTTACAAAAGGGTAAAGGTACATCTGTTATAAAAGCATTAGCTGGGTATACTTGTATCATAGTTCCATCTACTCTGCAGGCTGAGGTGGGAGTATCATTTGAGCACAGAAGTTCAAGACTAGCCTGAGCAACATAGTGAGACTTTGTCTCAAAAAAAAAAAAAAGTCAAGCTTCTATTTAGGAACTTTCTGCTTTTTTTCTAAAGTACAACTTGTTAGAAACATCTAAAGCGGTGATCTTTTCCTTCCTGTTTGATAGCTAGAATTTTTCCACCACAAATTTGATTTGATTATTATAGCTTTTCCAGCAGCCAAAAAATGGATTTCCTTTAGGGGAAATTTTTTAAATGTATTCTCACGTAGTACATGTTTTGTGCCACTCAAAAATATTTTAGGAATGATTATATGTATACCTTGGTATTTTTTTTTTGAGTTATTTCTTAGAAGTTCATACAGTAGAAGAAAGTGCCTTTGCTTATTTTTAGTGTTTCTACCTTTTTCTCTGTGCAGCATGAGTGACTTGAAATTATAGCAGTCTATAAATCTTCCTAGACTACTTGATTCTACATCAAGTTATTTTGGAACAGTGGTTCTCCAACTTAAAAAAAAATTTCAGTATCTTTTATAGTCTAAAAATTGAGGACCTCTAAAAAGGTTATTGATATAAAATTATATCTGTTGATGTTTACCATGTAGGAAATTAGAACTGAGAAAATTGTCAAGAAAGTATTCGAATTCATGTTTCTTTTATAATTCACAGGCTAGAGCCCTAAAACAATGAATGAAAGTGATAGAAGCAAATAACTTAGTGCAGGTGTCCTCAAACTATGGCCTCCGGGCCACATACTGGCCTGCCCACTGGGTGTTTTTGCCGCTGCTGCCTGTCCTGCTTAGCAGCTGACTCATCCTGGGGCCCGCAGTCCAGCCCTCCAAGAGTCTGAGGGATAGTGAACTGGCCCCCTGTTTAAAAAGTTTGAGAACCCCTGACTTAGTGTTTCTGTTGAACCCCCATTCTTGCCCCCCCAACTACCTTAAGTGAATGTGTATAATCCTTCTGTTCTCTATTATTAAGAACTTCAATTTGCTTTTGTAAACATTTCACAGAAAGTTAGGTAACTAATACCATTTTCCTTTTTTCTTTTTGAGATGAAAGTCTCAACTTTGTCACCCTCTATAGAGCACTGTGGCATCATAGCTCACCCCAAACTTAAACTCGGGCTTGAGTGATCCTCCTGCCTCAGCCTCCCAAGTAGCTGGGACTACAGGCCCTCACTACAGCACCCTGCTATTTTTAGAGACAGCTCTGGTCTTGCTCAGGCAATCCACCATGCCTGGCCCTCTTTTTGTTTTGGTCACCTGAACTGGAGTGCCATGGCCTCAGCTTAGTTCAAAGCAACTTCAAAGTCCTAGGTTCAAGTAATCCTCCTTGAGCCTCCCAAGTAGCTGGGATTACTGGTGCCTGCCACACAGCTAAATTTTCTTATTTTTAGTAGAGTTGCAGGTTTCAACTTTTGCTCAGGATGGTCTCAAACTTGAAAACTTGAGCTCAGTTGATCACCCAGAGTGATCACCCAGCCACCCAGAGTGCTTAGGATCACAGTCATGAGCTACCCTGCCTAGGCCACTTATACCACTTTTTTTTTTTTTTTTGAGACAGCCTCAAGCTGTGGCCCTGGGTAGAGTACTGTGACATCACAGCTCACAGCAATCTCCAACTCCTGGCTTAAACAATTCTTCTGCCCTAGCCTCCCAAGTAGCTGGGACTACAGGAGCCCACCCACAATGCCTGGCTATTTTTTGGTTGTAGTTGTCATTGTTGTTTGGCAGGCCCGGGCTGGATTCACACACACCAGCTCTGGTG